TAATGAATATTGAATGTGAAGGAAATCTCTAACTAATAAAATAGTCTGGAGTGAGAATGTATTAATGGCAGGAACACACTACAATCTAAAATCACAATAGAGAAGGATTCATAGTTAGTGTTGGAATGGGAGCTTTTGTTTTACACCTTATCTGCTTCTGTTATGAGACGATACCTGTTTGATCTTTGGCTGAAATGTCTTCAATGTGCTTGAACAACATCTGTACTTTAGAAACATTCAGGCAACATCTGAATCTGTCCTTCTTGACTTCACAACATGTTGTGCCTTGAGGGGCTGATGCCTTCTTTAGTAGCTTGAAGTGCTTTTCTACAGTACTGAATTCTTGTTCCTGCACTTAAACCAAAGCATCTGCAAACATATTGTGATAATTATTTTATGTTTTATGATGGATGAGAAAACTGGTTTGGGTAAAAGAGGGGAGTGAAGTGGTGCTGCTATAAAGCCTAATGTCAATACTGTCTGACGTCCTGTTCTTTTTCTATGTGTTTCCATCTTTCAGTCTGTCACTCTGTTGTTCATGTAAACTCATTCTATGCACCTAAATGAAGGTAACGAATAAATAAATAGATTGAAATGGCTACACATGTTTCAAGTTTTCATTAATTGACTTATACAGCTACTGGTTTAACATGCAAATGCTGGCACAAACGGACAAGGTGCTGTTAAATGAATACTTTTGTGTAACATTGAACGTCGTCTGCTTAGCTGTGATGCTCAGCTCCATGTGCTGATAATGCTAAGACTGCTGGACAAACTACAGTACGATATCATTTCTCACTAACCCCGAGCATTTCTTTTGGTGTTTTATGGGCTGGGAATCTTTGGGTGTCTTACGATTTAATTCAGAACGTATTTTTGATTCAAAACGATTCATGATTCAAAGTCTATTTTTGAATTTGTACTTCAGGATCTACTCCAGTCATCTGATACTGGCTGGATTTCTTGTTGCTCCATTTGGCATTCAACTGAGTTAAAGAGCTAGCCTTAGCACTTAGCAGGGAGTGACTGATAAGCCAAAAAAACCCGATTATGAATCTATTTAAAATCTCAGAAGATAAGAATCTCGATTTTTACAGAAATAGATTTTTTTTCCCCAACTCTAGTGTGTTATATGTTTTGTAAAACAAGGTTTAATACCAGTGCACAACAGATGTCTAAGAAAAAAATCCATTGAGAGGGTTGAAATACTTCCAATTTGCTTTTACTACACCTCATATTTAGACCTATACATTCACCAGGGGTACCGTAGATCTGCTATACATACTTAGCCTGAGAAAGCCTGGCAGGAAGGCGGCTCAGGTTAGGAATGTCATCCAGGAAGTGGTCTAGAATTAGACTTCCTGTTCGTCCCATAGCTCCTTTGGGTGGAGGCGCCGCCACGTTTGTTGTGGAGCTTAAGGTGATGACAAATATGAGGGGAGGGGACAGCACTTGATTCTGCCTTCAGGACACAAATACAGCTGTGTTCAATCAGCTAAAGCCAGATGTTGCCATATTCTCTTAACCTCTGGGTGCTTGGGTTGGTACAGAAACATGAGTTTTAATGGCAGTCATTTTTATTAAGATTACACCCAATAGAAACTTGTTCTTATATATAGTTAATATTAAGATTATGCAGATCCCTCCGCTTAAACTCATCACATCATGGTATTTCTCTAGTCTCTTATGGATCCTTTGTTGGAAACAGTGACTTGTAAAAACTACTCTTGAATATTCAGTTCGCCTTTTTAAAAAAAGGGGCCTTTTGTGTTTACACATTGAAACTCAACTTTTGCTGCTTGACTTAAGGCAGTAGGGAATGTTACGTAATTATCAATAGCATCAGAAGAGGAGCTATGTGTACTAGCCAATTAGAGACAGAGTAGGGCGAGGCATTCCAGCACCATCACATGGGGGGGGGTTGCAGCATATTACTGACTATTGTGAATGAGAGGATTAGGAAGTGGGTAATGGAGACTCCAATATAAGTGGGCGTACTCTATATCTGCATATAACCCTGCACTGCACCACTGGTCTTAATGTAGTAAACATGATAATCTCATTGGTGGCCATACAGCCCTTCAGCAGGTCACCATCATCTATATTTCATATGACAGAGAGCAGTAGTTGGTGGAATATCTTGCTATGGATGAAATACTGAACAAAAACAACTGAAGAGTCGTTAATGTGAATGTTTCTGGTTCATCTCTTACTCTGATTTCCTCCAGCAGGACAGCTGTGCAGTGAAGATCAGGTTGTTGGATGCACAGCAGAGGGAGAGACTGAGCAGCCAGAAACACATACAGGAAGAAGCTTGACTGCAGAGGGTCTCGCTGTCAGTGTGTGAAGACAAGAGAACAGCAGGTTAGTGGCCTTGTTCCCCACAGTGATGTCGTCCCACCCTACAGGAATACATTTTGCACAACATCCTCATGTGTCAACATCTTTTCTATTCCTTATAAGGTCCTGGGGGAACATTTCTCCTGTGTGGCCAACATACAAGATATGATACTGAGGAGGGTGGCCTTGTCAGTGTGGCTAACAATGGCAACTGCTTTGACACAGAAACAGTACCAGTCTGGATATTCTCGTTTGTTTCTAGGTAACTTTTGAAAAAAAAAACTCATCTTGTCACTTGAAAAGAGAAAGGAAGTATAAAAGATCAGAGAGTGAGAGAGGAGCTTTATTTATTTAACATATTTATTTGAGCCTTTCTTACACAGTTGGATTAAATCCTGAGTGTCCCCTTTTGGTTAAAGCTGTTTTTAATAATAAAAAAAATAAACGTGGTAAATAACTAGTTTCAAATCTGTCAAACACAAAACAGATATTTATCACCCCGTCTGCAGGATGGATTTTTCTCTGCTCTTAGTGTTGTTTCAGCACCTGCAAGAACAAACTAAAATATAAATGAAAATAAACTGGCATCAAATTCAAATAGGTACAATGTTTTTGAAAAACAAGAACTTATATCAGTTTAAAAACTGGAAAATCTTTGTCTTTACACTGTTTTGATTCAATATATGTCAAAAACATTAGCACATTAAATAGGTTGATATGATTGATGTTTTGCATGTCATCAACTTTTTTTGGCAGGATTAGGGTAAAGTTCTGTTTTCTATGAAAAGCCTCTACGCTAAGTTAGAAGTTCATTGAGGAACATAGTGGAGCATTTTTGCAGCGTAAGACATGAATATTTTTCTCAGGCAGAACAACACAGAGCTAAAAGAGGGGACGTTTTGGACAGATACTTCACACTTTTTTCAGAAATTTCAACTGGAGGATAATGTTGCTCCATATCTGCTGGATGTGTATGCTTGCAGATTTGAACATAACAACTTATTAGATGATGATACAGAATAGACCTGAAAAAGAAAAAGGTCAAACGTCAAAGAACTTGCAGCCGCAGAAGGTAAATGTTGTCTGTGTCTGTATGAGAGGACATAACTCTCCTGACCAGCAGGGGGCTGTAATGTGCAGACTTTTCTTTACTGTCAAAGGGAAATCAGAAGGACTTGAATGTGACAACAATAGTGGCAGAGTTGGTTTTTTTTCCATTGAGTAAACCTGATGTTTCAATCTGACAAAAATAATTCAAGCTCAGCCCCTTGCATCCCCCAAACAACCCATTCTCAAGGAAGTCAGTGCTCCCTAACAAAAAAGAAATGAAATTGCATGGCAAAGGGCAGGATTAAGAGATGAGTATCCCTTTGGGATATCATGTTTGTGCAGGCTCTAGTCTGCAGGCCTTTTTGGCACACTCCTTGACTTATTCAAGAGGTCCGGGAAGCTTGGAGGCGTAAACAGGGTGGCCGGCCAGCGGACTTGACTGACTGCAAATAAACAAACTTCCTGTGTGGTAGTAGCTGGTCAAACAGCTGCAGAGGATCAGTGGAGGGTCAATAACACGGTCTGTTTTCGTTTCGCTGGAAAAACCCAACACATATTGTTCTGCAAAAACAATAGAGCCCCAAGATTTACCTACCGGCTATTAAAAGGTTGGTGACTGACTAATGAAGCATAAAGACCACTGTCTGGCTGAAATCTTTCACCTGTAAAGATCCTTCCACTGACTGAACAACAGTCATGGACTCCATTAGTGTCTTTGTTCCAACGTATTTCTGGCTGATGACTTATGCATTATACATCATTTCTTCCTGTACATGAGTTTAAATGGTTTCCATTTACCAGTCAAGGAGACTCTCAGACTCCCAAGAGTTTCAGTTTTTGCTGAAAACCAGGTCCTCTAAACCCCTACTGTCCTTCACCCTCACCCCTCTGTCATTAGGATACTTTTTTTCTGGTTCCTTCTTGCCATCACTCTCTCTGGTTTACTCTTTGTGCTTATTTCTTTAATATATTTTTGTATAAGTATACCTGAAGATGAAAATGTGTTCAATTTAGTCTGTTTGAGTTCTTTGGAGTCTAGCTTTAGTCACCACCCTGACTCATGTTCATGTTATATACGTTTAGGTGAGAGTTTTTTTCATCCTTGGACAGAACCAGACTTGTTGTTCCCTGCCTTAATTTGTGGCATACTGCTATCAATATTCTCATCTAACTCGAAGCCAGTAAAGCTAGTGACATCACTTCCCAAAATGTTGCATTATGGCTCTATAAACCTCAAAGATTTAAGTAGATAAAGCAGTTCAGTTTTGATGTTGTAAATAGAATTGAAAGAAAACATGGTCCACTTGTAGCTTCTACTTGCATCACATGGACTCAAAGAGTAGGTGGAGTTAGCACAGTTGTCATGGAGATGGATCTGCTGGTGAAGACGGTGTTGCTAAAGGGTTCGGAAACAGAAAGCTGGATTGAATATTATTCTCTCTTTCTATTTTCTCAACAAGCCCTTGAATGCAGCCTGCTTCCTTATACCCTCCCTATCCCTGCCCCTCCCCCCCTCACCCTCCTCTCTCCAGCATTATTATCTTCCTCCTCCAACCAACCCCCCCCCCCCACCCCCACCCCCCTGCCCAGCTCCCTCCCTTTCCTGCCGGCCTCTCAGCAGAGGATGTGTCTGGGAGAGAGGGTGTGTGTGAGGGTGAAAGAGGAAAGCCGTCAGTAGAATGGATATGTGCCCTGTCTCCTCCACCCTTTCTTCTCCTTCTTCTTCTTCTTCTCCTCCTCCACTGTGTCATCTGTGTCTGTCTTCACCGCTCTGTGGCAGCATTGCACCCTGGGTACCCTCAGTGCCAGCCCTCGGGGACAAGGAGACTCTGCAGCTGAAAACTGACCTTCAATGTCAGCGGGGAATCAGAAGAGTTTTGGGGACAAACCAGAAGGTAACAGGACACACATACTGAACACACATGCACAGACACACACTGTTTGGCTGTTGACAACAATGCTGCATGCCCACACCCACATTTCTAAAAACCTATTAGAAGGAAGAGACAAAACAAAGTGCTTCATGGCTACAGTGTTACAGTATTGATTGAACTCTTGAAAACTAGTCTTTACAGGATTAAGGTGAGATTGATATATTGGTTTTGGTGTCAGCACTGGCCTTTGATTACTTATTGAACATCTGCCAGTCCGTGTCAAACATCCTCAGTGTGATGAGGACTCCTCCCTGAATACATTAAGCTGTAATCCTGCAAAAACAGAAAACACATTTGTTTTTCAAGAAATAACAGCAGTCACTGTTCATCAGGTTGTTTGAATTTTAAGTTTAGATGGCAGTTTCAGAAAGTTGTGAAAGCTGTTTATCCCAGAGGTCCCTTTACATTTTGCACACTTTTTTGATGTAGACCTTGAGGATGTAGTGCAAAGACAAAAATCTGTAGCTTGAGTTGCATACAAAGTGGGCATCAACTGATGGAAAAATAACAACCACTAAATTAACCATGTGTAAAGAAATTATCAACTGTTGCTGCTAACATGACACTTAAAGTAAGAATCTCAAAGATTTTCAGTTTTGTGAATGTCTGAAAAGTCCTTTTCTGGATTTGTCAACATCATTTTTGATTAATTATATTGTCCACTGATGAAAGCCCTTTCATTCTCAGCATTCGACTACATTTAACAATCAGAGAGCTCACTCACCCAGTCTCTGGTTGGAGAGCATTCAGTAGATAAACAACACAAACCCCAGTCACTTACATTTTGTAGTGTTCCTATAGCTACAGCTGTCTTCTTTAATGGAAAAGCCAGCAACACACCTGCCTGTGATGCAAGAGCTGCCAGGAATAAATGAATATACAACAAATGCTGAAAGTACTTGAAAGCAACATACAGAGAGAGCAGACATCTTCAATGGTAAATGGACTTGTGCTTGTATAGTGCTTTTCTAGCCTTCTGACTACTCAAAGTGATTTTACACCGCAGGTCACACCTACACATTCACACACTGATGGCAGAGGCTGCTATGCAAAGTGACTATCTGTAGTAACTAATCTCATTCATACATTGCCGACAAAGCAGTGGGAGGAAATTGGGGTTCAGTGTCTTGCCCAAGAACAAGTGGGACATGTTGGACATGTAGCTGCAGGAGCTGGGGATTGAACCCCCAACCTTCATGTTGAGAGACTACCGACTGTACCAACTGAGCCACAGCTGCCCATTACATACCCATATGTCAGTTTCAACAAGAGTAAGCTAACATGCTAAAACAGGTTATTTGCATGGCAAGTAAGAACAATAAATTGCACTTCAGTTTATGCTATTTGTTAGTGCTAGCAGGTTTACGCTAACAAGCTAAAGCTGGAGCACAGACTGCTTTTACTGCCTGTTGGGTACAATAAATGACACAACAAGACGTTATTTGTCTGATATTTGCATTTCAAAAAATCCAAAAGGTACCAACAGCAGCAGCACAGTTCAAAGTGAAGTCCAGTGAAAGAGCTAGCTTAGTTGACACCGTACATACAGCAAGCAGCACCCCATCCCTTAAATGCAAAAGTCAAGTCAAGTAGACTATATTTAATAAGCTCATTTAACACATCTTACGTTGACCAAAGTATTACACAACCAAGAGAAACAATATAAAATTGAAATATAATCCTTACAAAAGACCAAGAGCGTCCATAAACAAAGATACTGTATAAAATGAATCTTAAGAATAAATCAACAGCAAAGATTTCAAACCAGAAACAGAATAATTAAAACAGATTAGCTGTACATTAAAAATAGGAAATAAATAAATGCATAAGAAGTCAACTTGAATTGAATACCATTGTCAAAACATTAATCCTGAACCAAATTTATATAGAGTTAAATAGAATTTCATACACAAATAAAGAAATAACCTATAAAGAGCAAACTCCTTATGATTGCAAACTTCTTTAATTCTGCTGTCAAGATGAGCACTTTAACATGGGGGCCTAATGAGAGATTACTCGCTTTTTGAACAAGCCTCAAGTGGCCACCAGAGGAACTGCAGTTTTTGATATTGCTGTGTTAGCTTCATTGTTAAGCAACTTTAAGTTATAAACTAATATGATTCTTCATAATGTATTAGAGATAAGTCTGTTATTATCTACGGCATGTCTTCATGGCCACAGGGTCCTCTGGATTTCATCTACCATCATGCCATCACAGCAGCATTATAACGGTCTAAACAGTTAGTAGCTGCTTTATTGTCCTCTGTGGAGTTGTGTTTATCTCCGTGCTGTTGCAGCAGCAGCTTACAGAACACTCATCACTTTCCTGAGTGCGAGCTCTATGCTTTTATTGTTTTGCAGAGTTGCTGATGATGACGTTTTAGGGCTTCAGGTTTAGGCTTGGTAGGCGATAGCAGAGTGTCCCATGACCTCCTCTGAGAGAGAGATAAAGCCTTGTTTGTGTAACTCAGACAAACATTTACACACACACACACACAAATACAGAGTTGTAAATAACTAACTCACATGAGCCTCTTAATGAAAAAACCTGAACTTTTAGTGGCACAAATGTGCCCTGATATGTGATCTAATGACTAGAATCATCTATGCTTCAAAAAACAGAAAGGCTACTTTCTGCTGGTGACCTAACACAGCACATAGCTCTCTGCCTGAGTCACTAACCACTTCATTATTCACTTAAACCCAATTAAGTTAACTCAAATGGAAGAATTCTCACGTGATGGCTGCCTGTCTATCTGACTCACACAAAATATGAGAGATAACCTGGTCATCTGTCCGACACCAGAGACTCAGTTCTCCCTGCTATAAAAATAACCTTTCCATTAAGTTGCAGAGAAATGTCTGAGTCAGAGTGCACGGCATATCCTATTCCTTAAACATCAATAATGCTGCTGCTCAGCATGCTCAATATGGTGTTTCTTTATGGCTAAGACGGTGGGTAACTAAACAGTCAAATGGAAAATATAGAAGAGGAGGTAAGGTGGCCGTGAGAGCTCAGCATGATGCAATGTAAAAACATCTTCATTCATGCATAGCTTGTCTTTGCAGTACATCCTCTAGGTCTACATGCATAGTTTAAAAAAAAATTGCTGACTTTCAAAAAATATTCTGTTTTGTTGTCCATCTACTCTTGTGTTGTCGTCCTTTGGTTGTGTTGACGGTATTTACTTGTGTTGTCTAAACTTGGCAAGGTCCATATTTAACAGTTGTCTGTATTTGGTGATGTTGCTGGTTTTTGGCATCATTGTCGCCATTTATTTGTGTTGTCTGTATTTGGTCGTGCTCTGGTTGTGTTGTACTATTTGGATGAATTGTACATTTTTTAGCTGTGTTGTTTAGTTGATATTCTGTTGTTTTGTCTGTATTTGGTTGCATTTTTGGTATTTCACTGTGTTGTCAACATGTGACTTGCTGCTCCTCCTTACCTAAACTCTATCATCCAAGTCATTCAGGACATTCCTCCCGCCCATGAAGCTCTGCCTATGAAAGGCGTCTAATCCAACCCTCACAACAGGGCCCTAAGTCTCTAACCACGCTTGTCCTCTGTGCTTGGTTGTGTTGTCAGTATTTGGTTGTGTTGTCAGTATTTGGTTGTGTTGTCAGTATTTGATGTGGTTGTCTGTATTTGTTCTGTAGTGGTATTTGGTTGTGTTGTTATTTATGTTTCATTGTTTTGATTGATCATATTTTTGCTGGTTGTCTGTAACTGGATGTTTACAGGTATTTGTTTGTTGAATCTAGTTGCTTTGTCTGTATTGGTCTATGAGTTTTAGTTGTGTTGTCGGTAATTGGATGTTTTTTAAGACTTTGTTTGTTTGTTTGTGTTCTTTTGTTTTGGTTCGTATTAGTTGTTGAATTTGTGTGGAGATGCTCTGATGCATTTATTTCCTTTCCCATACCAATTTCAACACCTGAATACATACAGAACAATACTAAGAACCAATGCAAAACCAGCGTGAGACTTATGCTGAATTCGAACTGCAAGCCTTCATGCTCAGTTCGGATTTATTTTGCTTAGGTCTGATTTATTGTTTTCCTTTTAAATGTGACATGTATCAAACTTCTGTGGGGATCAACATAATGAAAGTGGCCCCTTTTGGCTGCAATGTGAATGCTAACTATTAAACCCATACATAACAGTATGTGATGTGATTGCTATCCATTTTTAATTGCATGGCTCATACTGTATGGTGTATTTTTTATGTAGTTTGACATTCACAACAAAAAAACAGTAAAACAAGCCACTTTCAGTAAAATGACACCTCATGATTGCCTCAAGTTCCTTCATGGTTTCTCTTTTTTCTTCCAGACAGGGTGTCAGTGGTTGAGATATGGCCAGAAGTGGCAAGGGCGGAGTGTTTGGCCCGAGGTGCTGCCTTGAAGTGGGCTTCAGGGGTTTTCTGCCGACCTGAGCATCTGGAGCGCCTGAGCCAGTACAGGAAGAGAGAGAGTCAGAGGACCACCTCCATACACACCAGACTAAAGGTGACATCAAAGACACACACAAACCCAGATATTCGTTCATGAAATTGTTGCTATAAGTCTACCATGGTACAAAAGAGTAATCACTCTGTCCCTAACCTTCCAGTCCATGGTCCAGTCGTACCTGGAGGGGGTAGGTTGGGGTCTGGAGCAGCTCAGGGAGGCCAGGACGGAGCTTAAGGAGGTGTCACACACTTTAAAGAAAGCTGGACTGGAGTCCAATGGAAACTCAGAGGGGGTGAAGTCTCTGGAGAGGCTGAGAGAAGTGTCCGTCAATCACAGTCAGCTCCTCTCCGCCGTCAGCAACCTGCCACGACTTTACTCTGGTGAGACGATGCTTTGTGAGCAGACAGGCCTGAAGGCAAATCATTCCATTCACAGAAATAAGTAAAAATGTGAGCAATCCTGCCTATGGGTACACTTGTCTCCATTTGGCATTGTTTTGCTCTTCTCTTAAACCTGGATTTATCTTTAGCAAAGAGCATCCCTCTACAAGCCATGCTAGACATGGGATGATTAAAATAGAAACTGGTCGTGAAATGCAGTTATAAATGTTCCCGCAACTTCAATGGAAGGAATGGATCCTCCTTGATTTTTTTAATAACACATTTTTGCAGATGTTTTGTTGTTTCTTTGTCGTGAAATGTATAATTGACATGCTGTTCTTTGATAAGTCGGATTTTTGTAAAAATTGTTGCAAAGGGTTGGGTCTTAAAATGCTAGATTTACACATTCGCAACTGTGCCGCCCACTTTGAGGTCTACAGCCTCTGTACATGGGGCGCGCGCATTTACCGCTAGGACACCTGCGCCCTTTGCTTTGGTTTTACTTTAGAATATATGGTGATCATTGTAATTTCTTTCAAAATGTATCTGCATGTTGACATTTTCTGTCTTATAATGGAAAAATATTCTTCATAATATTGATAATAATTCCAGGAAGTAGATTTACAGCATATTTTGGTTCGAAATCAGGGTCTTGAAGATGTGATGTTATATGTCTTTCGATACACTTTCATACTGTACTGTTGAAAACAGTGTGTTCTTCTCTGATTTTGAGAATACAAATGATTAAAGGGGTTATATTTTTATATTACAAACCTAATTCCAAAAGTTCCACTTTTACCACTTTTATGGTCAAATGAAGAACATTTTTGCTGGAAGTTCAAATATGCATCTTCAGTCTGCTACAGCCCCAGGACTCAGAAAAAGATTTATGCATTACATAGTTAGAGGATGACAGGAATCAAAACTCTCCCCTCCCTTTGCAGTGCGTAGCATGGTGTTGGAGACAGAGCGTCTGGTGGAGTCCCGGCGACTCCTGGAAGCCCACGCCCGGCTGATGGATCTGGAGCGCTGGCAGGATGACATCCTCTGGCAGCTCCATGGAGCCACAGGAAATGGGCTCAGCACAGAAGACCAGGAGCTGGTGGACAAGTATTTCTCTGGTGTCGGACAGCTGGTGGACGCTTTGGGTAAGGAGGGCCAGTCGACACAAGGGTAGTGATGTGTCTGTGATCTATAGGTTGTAAGATGTTTTGGATTCATTTACAAAGCAGATGATGGTATAATGATGTGCACGTCATCCACCCTCTTGCTGCAGGTAAGGAGCTGTGGGCGGTGGTGAGCAGTAGTCTGGCTCTGGCTAGACAAAACCCCACTCCATTTGTTTCAGCTGTGAGGATAGTGGAGCGGGAGGAGACCCTGGACCGAGCTTTACTGGAGGAGCGAGGGGGAAACAGAGGCAACACGCGTCCCCTGCCCCGTGGGAGACCTCGCTGCTGGAGAGCATGCTTCTTCCAGGTACTTGAGGAGGCGGTTTCTGCCCGCTTTCGCAGTGTTTCCTACCTGCACACTCGAGGTCCAGGTCTGGCAGGCCACCTTTCTGCCCTCCAGCACGGTATCATGGCTGACCTTACCACCGTACGCCACCTGCTGGAGCACTGCGTCCCCTCACACTATCAGCTGACGGGAGCCTACCTGAGGGCCAGCCACCGCTGTTTACACGCTCACCTGGCACAGGTCAGTCATGTGGGGAAAAACTGCTGCACCATGTCTAGCATTTGATCATTTTAAGCTGTCCTCAAGCTGTTCAATGTTGTATTTATACTTTAAAGCCAACACCAGCAACTGCAGATTTAGTATGCCTTCTAACAACTGTTTAAATCCAACGAGCAGCTCACTGTATACATCTAAGGGATTCTTGTGGCCTAGGTTAGCAGCTGGGACCTGGAGAGTGGAGAAATCTTTGCTGTGCTTAACTGGGTGCTCCACATCTTCACCAGGTGAGCTACAACACCTGCACACCTTTGTCATGTTATTCTTGGTTGTTCTGCCTGTGTGTCTGCTTTGTTACAACACAACATAACTGCAGAAACCTAATCAATGAGGCCAAACAAAGCAAGTCCAAAAAGTTAAGCTAAGAAAGAGTTGAAGCAAGAAGACAAAAATGCAAAAACAAAAAAGGGAGATTAGAAAGATAGGAGATATGAGGACAGTTAAGGAAACCAGAGGGGGGGGAAAGCATGAAAAAATGCAAATATACCAACAAAAATAATTGAATAAAAGCAATAAAACAAGACTGTGTTGTTCCAAAGCTGATATGGTGTCGCTTCTGCCGCAAGGAATACAGGAACTTTGTTATATCTCCTTTCTTATCATAAAGGTTGGTTTCAGTGTTTTCAATACTCAAGTAGATTAAGACATGAAGACGTGATGCTCCTTTGCTCTTATGAATCCTGTCACTTATGCTGCCGGGACCTTTCACTTGTTGAGAAACCTCCTTAAACAAAATAAGATTTAAAATGAGACCAACCTTTGATCGCCCATGTAGGTCACAAACATATAACTTCTGACATGACAAAACAAAAAGACACATAGTACCTGTTTAACCATGCTGATTTGGCAGTCCTGACATGATGGGTCATCCTGAGCTGGTGGGTGTGATGGAGAAAGAAGAACTGGGACCTCTGATCTCTCCTGAAGGGCTGGAGCAGCTGCAGAACAAATATGTGCAGCGTGTTCGGGTGAGTCCACCACTAAAGATACATACACCACTAAAGACAGAACATTAAAAAAACAGAGATCCTTTTTCTTTTTAGTAATGGGCTGAGTGTCAAATACAGACGTGTGGAGAAACATGATGGACGATCAATGTGTGTGTCTATATTGTTGCTGTTGCAGAAGAGTGTATCAGAGTGGATGCACAAAGCGCTTCAGGTGGAGCTCCAGGACTGGCAGAGAGACCAGGAGCCCGATACAGACCATGAAGGTTTCTACCACACCAGCCTGCCCACTATCATCACACAGGTATGAATGCCATACAAATACAAAATCAGTACAACCCCATTCTAACACATAATGTCTGCAGACAGAACGTTAGCAATAAGCGACATTATAAAGAACCTTTCATTAACTTCTGACCCATCGCCACAATTCACAGGGCATGAATGGCGCAGGCTCTACCTAACCAGAAACCAATGAGCCCTGCATATTTTAATTTAAGCGTCTGACAAAATTACTGCAGGTAGACTTACTTTTTACTGCAGAAAAGCCTTAGTTCCTATTTTGGCCAAAAACGTATACATCACCTCTTTCACGACTAAAGTCTGCTTGGAGAACACCGAACATTGACATTGCGGCACTCAGGATCTCACAATCTGCCACTGCCTTCATTTATTAGTCTGTTTTAAACACAATGACGAACTGATTGGTTCACTGGATACTTTGGTGTTCTGGAAGGTAGAATTACAATGTTTGTCTGTCGAATCATGTGGCCCTGAAGAAAGTGATGCCACAACTGTTTTTGGTTTCCAAAAAAACATCTTACTCTGTAACTAAAAAGTCCATCAATGTGGGAATCCTTTCAAATGTCTTGAACTGACTTTAAGAAAACATCTAGAATGCAGCTCTGAATGTGTTGAAGCTATTACTGACTGTTTTGCAGAAGAAATCCACTGGAGCAATTCAAATACGTTGTATTTATATTAGTATAGCCTACAAAATACATAAAACATAGTGCCAAGTTTAAACTACAAGATTTCACCTTTAAATAATTTGCGCATGCTGTATTATCATTGTATTATTTTTCTTGTCATCTCTGCTTCTTGGTGGTGATATTGATATAGGTAAGATGTCACCACTGTGTGAACATGTTGTTTTTAATTAGATCAAGTGCTTCCTACTCTTTTAAACTGAATTAACAAACATGACTGTCTTTTTAACCTGCTTGGAGCACTTTGATTTATTTCCAGCATTCCACTTTTCCAGCGTATGCCCATGTGCCGTGTTTCGACACAAAGTGATGAGTCATGTGATAGTGTGTGATTTGTGCGTATGCTTGTCTGTTTGCGGGACCGTGTTAGATGTTGGAGGAGAACGCTCGGGTGGCTCTGATGATTGGCGAGTCCTTGCGAGATCAGATCATACAGATGGGACTGTACGAGATGGAGAACCTTCTTAACAGGTGTGCGACCATGTTGCCAAGGCATTTCCATTTCACTTAGGAAAACCAGCTGAGTTTAAGTCTTCACTCTCACCTTTTCATTCACCGTTATTCCTGCCCTCCAAAGGTTTCGAGAAGCACTGGTGGAATTTGGGAAGGAGCATCGCAGGGATCCAAGCAACAGAAAAAGCAAGTTCTACCTCCACTACCTGCTGGCCTCCATCAGCAACTGCATCATCCTCAAGTGAGTTAATGGCAGACAGTTGATGACCCCACTGACAAAGCTTTAAAGCATTCGTTGTCATCAGTGTGCACAGATTTTTCTGCAATATGACGATGTAATTAGTGTAATTTACTATTCTGGGAAAAGTATGTCATGACAACATTTTGAAAAAAAACCCGGAGCATGTCTGTCTGTATTACACATTCTGAAAAGAAGGTTTCTAATCAGCACATCTGGTCCACATCAGATGACTGATATAGCTAGTATTCTGTGTCCCTTGTGTTTGATGCAGACAGTCCACAGAGAGCCTGCGGCAGCAGCAGTCGTCCCGCATAGTGAGCCAGTTCTCTCGGACTCCTCCAAACCCTCTGGCAGCGCTTGACCGGGCGGTGAGACGAGCGTGTCGCCTGGTGATGGATCAGCTCCTGCTGGACCTTCAGCCTCTCCTCCCAGGCCTGCTGACCCGACCCTGGCTGGTCCAGGGAGAACCCGTCCCCAAACTCTGCCACGTCCTGGAGCGTCACCTAGAGCTGTACAGCCGTGTTCGACCTCCCTGCAGAGAGGTCACAGCTCTGCTCTGTTTCTTTCGCAATCTCCTGTGAAGATGGAAGTCTAGTTACACAGACATCTTACACAGATTGTATTTATTCATTGAAAACAACTTTATGATTTAAATTTGGCATGTTCCTGCATTCATAGCTATCCTCTAAGGATTATGGATGGAAGGGAAGTGTATGTATAATTTCATATTTAAGTTGTATAAGAATAGGAAAAAAAATAGGTGAAGCATCTAAATACTTGTCATCATATTTCGTATTGATTAATTGCATATTACATTCTGTATCGTTTGTGTGTCAACCTGCCCAGGGACTACACATGGAATCTAGCTAATCAGCTAAATCTGGTGCAATGCATCTCCTCTAATTTATTGAGATTACTGTATGTTGAACATGGTCCCTGACAAACTAAACAATAAACTGTCTGCAAACAGTAAATCTAGGCAGATGTATAGAACCATACATTTGTAGAAATTTCCATTCAGTACTCTGTTCATTTTAGTCTGTATTCAGCAAACCTGCTGAATCCTATGTGTGTGTTTGTGTGTATGTGTGTGTACAGCGTCTGCAGGAGGAGGCCCAGTGGCTGATGGTGGTGGAGTATGTCAGGGCTCTGATGCAGAAGAGGCTGGTGTGTCGGGGCGCAGACGAGAGGAAGCAGCTCGCTCAGCAGATGGTTCAAGACGAGCAGCTGTTCAGAGAGATGTTTCACGGCCTGGTGAGGAGGAACTGACTCTGAATGTCTTGTTTTCGACAAAATCTTTTGTCTTTTCAGTTTTCATAAAAAGTTCATAATAAATGGCTTTTCATTTATACTATTCTGGGGCGTCTTATCGTTATTAGCATCCAAATGTTGTAGATATTTAGAAACTTAAGCCGCAACAGGTTTGTCAGAGTTACTGATATCTATATCAGCATTCATGTCACTCAAACTGAGTTGCTTACCTGTCTTCAGGATGGTGAAGGGTCAGTGCCTGAAGTGAATCCTCTGGCCTTACTCCCCATCCTGGCTGATTTCATCCGACTGAAAGACCCTGGAATGCTAACCCTGGAAGTTACCGGACTTGCAGCCAAATACCCTGACATCGGGTAATCTGACCTCACCTGCTTTTCTAACCCTCCCTACTAAAAGTCATGTTAATAACCATATGGTATCCATTAATATCGAGGTAGACCCTCATAACAAAGTTATTTAACAATTAGGAGATTGTTAAGTAAAAGTGTATTTTAAATGTACCACTTACATTGTTAACATAAAGATTTTAGTGTTAAACTTTTGATTCTGTCTTTTTTCCGACCAGGCCAGTGATAACTTCACTTATTGTTTTTCTGCTCCCTTAGTGAAGAGCATGTTTCTGTGCTGATGGACATTCGAAGTGACGTTTCCAGGGACATCAGAGGGTCTGTGCTGGACTTGTTGGAGCAGAGTGCCCCCCCTCTCCCTGCAGGGTACCGGCCCATCTTCACTGACATCCTGGTGCGCCCCTCGTCCCTGGTCTTCTGCCTGCCCACTGCCAAGTGTGCATGAAACTGTGAAACCTGAATTTGACTTTAAAATCTGGTCTGAACGATAATCAAGCCGAGAGCTTGCAGCACATCATAACTCAACGATCTGAAGGACCAGTAAGAAACACGATGAGGAGTTTCAAGCTTTGTTTAAAGGAACCTTTGTGTGATTATGTTCACATGCATGTTGTTCATCAATGGACCATCATTTGTTACACACTGAGATCTGCCTTGTGCCACCATCACTGTGTTCTTGTGTTTCACCACAGAAGTCTCTTCAAGCTTTGTCTTGGCTGCATCCTTATTCTTTGGGGGAAATGTGGAGGTTCAACAAAGTTTTCTGTGAGGATAAATTACTGTTTTTGACAATGGATTCTGGTGGCTTTGAAGAGTATGATGAAATATGATTTTCTGGTAAATAGAAGTACCTTGCTCTTTAACACCAAGGTCTATCATTATGAATTCATTCTCTTGTGTTTCAGACACTAAACAAACTGCCAGCTGAAGCAATCTCATGGATCAATTACAAAAACATTTTGTTCTTGTTAGTCGTTTAGATCCCTTATTAGATTTTAAATAATAGGGCCCCATTTAAAAACCGTGGCATTCTTCTTTGATGATATCTACGGAGCCCCTGAAGAAATAATATCATCTGCGCACAAGTTTTTTTTTACTTTTTGGGACCACAGGGGCTCCGTAGATATCTGTTGTGTGAGTAGGAAAGTCTGACATTTTTTTACAGTTTACCTGGGAGTCAGGCTGGTGACTTTCTGGTGCAGGTCTAACTGTAGTATCTGATGTGTCTTTAACAATCAGAAATCCTGTAACATGGCGTCAGTAAACTGCACTCAGTGCTCTAAGAGGACCCACTTGGTCATTGCGTAATGATAACAAACGATGTAACTCTATAGGATTTATTTGCTGTTTACAGGTTACAGATTTAATTGATAGTATTTTCTACTGAACAAAAGCTTGAACACCTCCAATAAAATTCATTTTACCATCATTGCATTTTGGAGGCAGACAGAAAAACTCCACTCACAAAATAAACAGTATCCAAATATTCAAGGTTTACTCAACTTAATGTATTGAACGGCAACACCGCTTATATTTCCTGCTGAAAACAAACATTTGTAGTTTACACTAGCAAATGAATTTGTGCAAATGATATCATGTTCATTTCATTCCAAGGAAGGATTTGAAATTAAGTCAAAATAAAGGCTTCTTTGGATATATTCTACGAATTAAATAGGACAAATGGTCACCATATGAGAAACTTATCTGAATGGTTGTTTTTGCAGGATGTAAGAAATTAACAGAGATACACTGTTTCAGTTACAACACGAGAGTAATGAAAGAACAATTGATGTTCTGTCACATCTGGACATTAAAATGATCGTTGCTTTACTGCCAAGGCTCCTGGACTGGGATCTATCTACCTGAAGAACTTGGGCAGCATATTTATAAAATGACGTTTTTTTCTTTTATTAACTTGTCTTTGTATGTCTCATCTCCCTTTGTTGTTGATATTGAGTATTATATTTGGAATCTTTATGTATATTTATTGTATTTATATTATTTTTCTTTAATTTCCGTTAGAATTGTGTTTTTTTCTGGTCTTCAGTCTGAGAATATTTTACAACATCTGGTCCAATAACGCACATTGTATACTGTGAGCATAAATGTCTAAATAAATGCTTTGTAAAAACACACAGCTTTCACTGATTGTTCATTGACAGAGGAAGAGAAAGGCGAGGCATTTTTATCTTCACAATCAAAGCCGACATATCGAAATAAAAAGTCTAACTTTCGACCTTCTTCTTTAATAATTTGAGAATCCTTATACTGTCATATTTTGTATTAAAACACACAGTCAAACGTGTTGTGCTATTAAAAAAGGAGGATAAACTTCATGAGTGCCAGTCACGTGACTAAATCTATGACGTCACTTGGAAAGATGGCCGCTTCCTTTGGAGCAACGCTGCTTCTTTAGTCCAGACAACCATAACTTTGTATAGGATTGAGTTCGTTATTAAAGCTTTAATTAAGCCACACGTCTTAATCGAGTGTTTTAAGTGTTGTTGCGGAGATGAAGACCTTCTGTGGAAGAGCCAACCCGACCACTGGAGCTTTAGACTGGGTGGAGGAGAGCGAGGAGTACGACTACCACCAGGAGATAGCCAGGTAGCTTAGCATCACATCATGTATGAGAAGCTGCACACAACAACACATGTCAGTGTCGTTGTGTGGTTGGTGTACATTTGTTATCCCATTTTAATGAATCCTGAGTCATCTGAAAACTTGACAAAGACTCAGAACCAGGCGATGAGAATATTTGTCTTGTGTTGTGTGATGAAAAGAGAAAGGTGTTTTATTACCAGGCAGGTAGAGACTCTGGCTTTACCAAGTACATGTTTTCATACAAATTCTGGAAACGTAATTATTTCAAGTTTTCTTTCTGATAATGTAGCAGTCTATTCTGGAGGAACTTAAAGTTTAAACAATCTGATAGTGATCAGTCAGTGTTTTCTTTTTAACATACTCAGTATTACTGATTAAATAAAATAAACAAGAAATAATAATAACATATATATATATATATATATATATATACATTTATATAGTGACATATTTTCAAACTGGATGTGATACACATCACTACAGTGTCAATTCAAAATATTGCAATATATTGTGATAATGTAAGCGAGCTGACATATTGCACTGCTTATTTCTCTGCCTGTTCCAAAGACTTGTTTTATTATAATGGAAACAGCAGCCCCATTTCAGACCTATGAATTCCCATTAGAACAACAATAATATGCAGCGATGTTTATTTGCTTCTAAACAGAATAAAGAAATGCATGTATGTACTCGAAGACTTTACATTTTTAATTACCATTAATTAAAAATCAAGTTATGGAATGATCCTCACTTTTAACACATATTTGTTCCTGGTTGGTATTGACATGATCATAAATTCTAAGATTTCCAGACGCTAACAGTGGTCCAACCCGATCTGTTGTTCTGTTTATTTTTCAGGTCCTGCTACGCGGACATGCTCCATGACCGTGACAGGGTGAGTGATGCGTAATATCATCATAGAGACTGTTTCTGTTACAGCATTTTTCTGATTTACCTTTCCTACTCTTTACGTAACGATACAAATGAACATGTGTCACATTCTTCAATAGAAAATAGAAATGAAGTACAACCCTGCTCTCAGAAGCGGGCGTCTTCCTCTTTGGCAGAAATAACTTAATGTTGCAAGAGGTTCGCTTACTTTTTACGAATAAGGACTACTTAATGAAATGTTCTGTAAGATAAGTTTAAATATATCACCTCTGCCTTTTCATCACATGTGGGGAAAAAAATAAGTTCCAACTTTTAAATGAGGTGTACTTTCTGTTTGGCGTGTCTCTTTATGCGACTATTGCATAATGCAGTGTTGTGTTCTTACATAGTTAAAAAGTAGTGTCCTTGTCTTGAGGCATCAAATCAGAATCTTTATAAGACAAAATAAAAGGCTGCAGAACTTTGACATGATGGAGTCATCATTTACACATTGTGAATTCACTAATGTCTATTCAAAGAAAGTTGGCTTTAATTAAAGGAGAAAAGAATACTGATTGTGATCAAGCTTATTCATTGGAATCCCTCTGCAGACAGATCTTTCCTATTCAGTGCGAAGTAGCTGATTAATTTTGTTCCTCCAGAATGAGAAGTACTACCAAGGCATCCAGGCAGCTGTGGCCAGAGTAAAGCAGCGGGGTGAGAAGGTCATCGTGTTAGACATCGGGACAGGAACAGGCCTGCTGTCCATGATGGCTGTCACCGCTGGAGCCGACTTCTGCTATGCTGTCGAGGTAAACATGTGTAGTCTACTGCATTTGGACTGTACAGTGTAAGAGGGGTAAAATGTACATGTCAAGTAAGGGAGAGTCACTTAATACAACACAGAAAATACATGAAACATACAAAGTGCAAATGCACAGTACATGGGTAAAAGTGCTGAGGAGCATAAAGTGTGCAGGTTCCAATCATGCAGTTAATAAATCAAGTTGATCTGTAAAAGCTACAGAGCTGAGCACACCAAAATAAATAATAAAAGAATAAGGACCCACGAAGAAGAATGACAACAGCTTCCCAGACCTTCATGAAATTACAACGACCACATCAAGCAGCAAAGAGGAAAAGCACGATACACACACACACACACACACACACACACACACACACACACACACACACACACACACACACACTATGACTTGTTCCGCTCTACAAAGGCTGCTGGGACAAAGCTGTTCCTACAGTGTTTCGTTCTGCACTTTGGAACTGAAAGTCTTCGTCCAGACGGATAGGAATTGAAACTCGCCATGCAGAGGATGGCATCTCAGACTATATCATAGAAAAGAAAGCCCTTTCTTATAGATAAAAAATACAGTGTTGCACTGTTTTGTGAAGCCACATCAATCGACGGAAACAAAACATTAATCTTACCTTGCAGCCTGGATTGGTTTGTTTGTTTTTGGTATTGAGTGACATTGGTGTTTTTTAAATGAAGATTTGGATCTAACACAATATTTGGCAAACACACAGTAACACAAAAGAAAAGAAAGAAAGAAGTGGTCGAAAAATACATTTCCCATGTTCAGCAAAATGATTAAATCACTGTTTTTGTTTATGCCATCTGGTGGTCCAAAGAGAGGGAGGTATCTGCTGTTTCTGGTTTGAAAGAGAGAGAGCTTCATCTCAGGAGGGATTCTTGTTGTCATGCTGTAACAAAATGTTTTCTTGTCTGGTTCAGGTTTTTAAGCCCATGGCTGAAGCAGCACAGTGCATTGTGAAGAAGAACGGCTTCTCTGACAAGATCAAGATTATTAATAAACACTCAACGGATGTCACTGTTGGGCCAGGTAAGACACAGACGCACACACACACACACACACACACACTTTCACACTTTCACACTATATGTACCTTGTGCTGCATGCATCTGTGACTTTCTAAAATAAATGTGAATGTCTATTAGAGATGAGATAGAACTTAATTCATTCTAAAGGAAATTCTTGTGCCAGGCTGCTCCATCATTACAGTCCAACAGAGAGTAATGCTGAAGAGCATCACATTTAAGAGAAATACAAAACAGTGAGGGTGATGTTTTAAGTATATGTGTGTTGTGTTTGTAATGGAATACAGATGGAGACATGCAAACGAAGGCCAATGTTCTGATCACTGAGCTGTTTGATACAGAGCTGATAGGTGAAGGAGCCCTGCCGAGCTATGAACATGCTCACAGAAATCTAGTCCTGGTATGTGTGAGAGTTTGTGTGTATGCAGTTAAATGTAAGTGTTGATCTGAAGTTTCACCCTGCTGATGGACTATTAGAATTCGTTTTTAAATGGCAATACTTGATTGAATTGATGACATTACGAGCTGTAAATGGTATTCAGATTTATCTCTTTCATGCCCACATAGGAGGGTTGCGAGGCGGTTCCTCATCGGGCCACCGTCTACGCTCAGCTGGTGGAGTCTGAGCTTCTGTGGAGCTGGGCTCAGATGCAGCCGGTGGAGGTGGAGGGGGCCCGTGTGGTCCCACCGCCTGCAGTGGCCCACTGTGCTGGAGCTCATTCCGTGTGTGACATCCAGCTGAGCCAGGTGTCTCCTAACAGCTTCAACCCGCTGGGTCCCCTCTGCACCATGTTCAGGTCTGAAAGAGACAAACAGGATTTCCGGGATTGTTTCTGTGCACTCCAGTGTCTCACACTTTGTTTTCCCATCCCTCTCTACACTCTAGTGTGGATTTCAGTAAACCAGTCAGCAGCGCGCTTCAGACCCACTCCTCCCAGTTTGCGTCTCAGTCGGATGGTCGGGCCCACGTGGTGCTGTCCTGGTGGGACCTGGACATGGATCCCAGTGGAAGCATTGTCTGCAGCATGGCTCCCAGCTGGACGTACCCACAGCCGAAGAGCGCTCCAGTGAGTTAAAGAACGCAGTGTTCTGTGTTGTCCTCTTATCAACCCTTTTACTGATCACTGTGTTGTGTTTTAGTGGAGGGACCACTGGATGCAGAGTGTGTACTTCCTGCCTGTGGAGAGCACAGTGACCAAAGGAGAGGAGCTGAGTCTGACTGTGTGCCATGATGACTACAGTCTGTGGTACAGTCTGCGGCCTCACAGGTAGCACATCACAGACGATACATTTCATGACTCACGCTAAAAATACTGTTAGGATCTTATTCTCCTGCAGTGGACAATCACACGACAGAAACAGCATCACTTTTTTTTCTCAAACATGCACCGTACTCCGAGGCAGAGGCTACTATATAGTAGTAGATTTTCTAGGGGTACTTAGGGGTATAACTCAGTCTTCTCAGCAGAGCAAACGATTACCACTGTCATAAATATGTTTTTTTTTAATACCCTTGAGCCAGGCAGCCATTGTGTTAAACCATTTGTTAAATTACTGACGAATGTAAAACGACAAGTAGAGGATCTGTCTTTGGCTCCTAAACAAAAATGTTTGCTGTTTTCAACCTCACCTCTGTCAGTCCGAGTTAGTGATAATAGTTTGAAAATATCAATTATATGTTGCTATTTTAGCACCAACTTTGTTTACAGTAATACACTTGGTGGCCCAGAAGAACTAAACCTCTTTCAGTTTGGATTTCTAGACTTGTGCCTTTGTTTGTATTGCAAATTAGCTATCT